GGGAGCAGCAAAACAGCAGAGCAGCGTCTCCAGCCGAAGTTCCCAGCAGAGAGAGAGGGGGGCATGTCTCCCCTCCCCCTTATACAGACCTTAGCAGGAAGTCCCGAAGACAGGAAGAGGGGAGTGGGAATAGAACAGGTCTCCGCCCCCCTTCATTCATGTTTGCTCCTGGTTTTAGATTTCAAATCTCCCCCCCCCAGAGCAGCAGGAGTTTCAAACCATCACACTGACACTGCCAAGTATAGTGGTACTAGTAGGAGATCTAGTGGCAAGACCAAAGTTATGTTTAAGATGCCAGCCTCTGAATATAAAGAAATGTGGGATAATATTAAGAATATATGGACGAACTTAGGGCAGTTAAAGACATATTGCTGGAAATGAAATCTGAATTTGCAGGAACAAGGCAGGAAGATGTAGAGGAGAATGAGGAACTGGCACAGAGGTGCAACCAATTAATGGAAGTTTATAAAGAACATACAAAAGAAATTGAGGAATTAAAACTTGAGATTTTGACATTAACAGACAAGAATAAAGAGCTACAGGTGGAAATTGCAACATCGAAGGCAGATAGCCAAAAGTGGAAGGAAGCCTATCAAAATGGGGACCAAGAGCATGTTAGCTTAAAAATCGCTAATACTGGGTTGCTTGTAGATGTAGAACTAACGAAACAGAAATATATCAGATTACAAAGGGAATTTGATGATTTATATCAATAGGGCCTGGAGATAAGAAAGGAAACTGAAAGATTGCAACAGCTACTCGAAGAAGCACCTTCTAAAGAGGCTCAATATTTGCAGCCTGATGTGCAAAACCCCCAGTTACCAAGTACTTGAGACTCTGGATCCAGCAATCCAAGTTCAAATCTTGGTGAGACCTCCTTAACATTTCTGGCACTACCCCCCCAGATTACTCCAAGTTGCCCCGTGTCCATGTGTGCCCTATCCCAGCCTGATACAAATCAAACAGTTCAGCTAGAGCGTTTGTCAATAAGTCACCCAATGGGAAGGCCCAATTCTCCTCAAGAATCACAAGTCCCTGGGCCTGTTGCCTCCTTGACCCCTGTTCAGGTCCCGTTGCCTCCTCAACTTCCTCAAGTGGTAAAACAGGAGGAAGTTATATCTCCCCTGACTGATACACAGTATGTGGTAGTGAGACGCTGTTTAGGCCCTTCTCAGGAACTTCTAGGAGAGGAAGTAGTACCGGCAATAGGGTCAGAGCCAGGAGCTTCTAGGAGAGGAAGTAGTACCGGCAATAGGGTCAGAGCGGGTAGAACAGAAAACACTGCATCCTGTTAGAACGACTGTCTCTGTGCAGAGAGGAGGTGCCACCCAGGCAGATACAGAGATTAGAGACAAACCATATACTGCTCTGGACCTGGTGAAGTTAAAGCAACTGTTTAGCAAGCTTCCAACTGAAACTGAGGCCAAATATGTTATACGAGTCTCCCTCACCAGAGGTGATGAAATTTTACTGACTGAATACGAAGCTACAGGGAGCTGAGGACCTGGAATTATGTTAACAAAAGGGAACTGAGATCACCCTTGGTCTCTGACCCAACATGCAGCTTATTGCATTGGCGAAACGGAACCCCTTTGCAGAGGGGAACCAGCTACCCTGTGGGGGAGCTACTCTGATGTTGCGGACAATGTCCACAGAGCTGCTGCATTACAGATGATTCATGACCATGAAATTGCCCAAAAAGGAGGCTACTCTAACATTACAGAAAATGTCCAAAAAGCTGCCATATTGCAAGCAATTTATGACTCATAATGTAGACTGGAACAGATTGACCCCTTTAGTTAGGGGGTTCCCTCATTCAACAAAAGCTAAGGTGACGGAAATGCAAGATAAAATCAAAGGAGGAAACCTGCAAATTACTTGGACTGAATTGGCAAGGGAGTTGTTGGCTCATGCCAAATGATGTGGCAAATAAAGCGAGACCCCTAGGACTAGGCAGATTGATAGGCTTTCCTATGCTGGGGCAACTGCTGGGTCACCTCAGAAACCTTCTCCTCCTAACCAACAGGAGAAATCATGGGGTGATGGGCAAACAAGAAATCAAAACATACCAAATAGAAGCCCAAATAATTAATCTAACAACCAACGTTCCAGAAGATCTCGTCCCTCGTCCCCACAGAATCAGGATTTGCTAAATAAGCAAAAGGATGATGCCAGATGCCTAGGGGTCCCAAATTCGACATTGGCTAAAATTCGGGACTGTTCACTTTTACAGGAAATTATAGCAGTCTGGCCCGACAAATCTAATACTAATATCAATTCATCTGGAGGATCTTAGCCGAGGCCTAACTCTGGAGGATTTCAGTTGAGATCAAATCCCCAGAGGGACTCAGCAGGGAGACTCTCCACTTCAGGAAACTAGGTAGCCCTCCTCCCGCTGAAAATAGACAGTCTAATAAGCGAAGGAGGAGGGTACGAATACAAGGTCGTGATACAAATACTAGAGATAATTTACAAATAGTTGTTACTCAGGTAAATTGTAAGATTTCCCACGTTCCAAAAGACTGGCAAAATGTATTAAGACTAGCTCGAAATAAGGACGGAGATTTAGAATTTACATAGGTAGCCCTCCTCCCGCTGAAAATAGACAGTCTAATAAGCGAAGGAGGAGGGTACGAATACAAGGTCGTGATACAAATACTAGAGATAATTTACAAATAGTTGTTACTCAGGTAAATTGTAAGATTTCCCACGTTCCAAAAGACTGGCAAAATGTATTAAGACTAGCTCGAAATAAGGACGGAGATTTAGAATTTACATATGCCGTTGGGCCAAAACATTATCCAGTAACTTTTGTGATAGATACTGGGGCACAGATTTCGAAATAAGGATGGAGATTTAGAACTTACATATGCCGTTGGGCCAAAACGTTATCCAGTAACTTTTGTGATAGATACTGGGGCACAGATTTCTACACTGTGAGCTAATTTGGCTGAGCAGTGTGGTGTCACCTTTTCTTCAAAACCAATATGCATAGGTAGTGCATTTGGTAAATATATTCTACAAAGGACAGCCAAGGTTACTTTGCATATACCGGGAGACGAAAAACCAATTCAGGTTAAAATGGTTGTTGGTAACATTAATTTTAACTTGTTAGGAATGGATGTTCTTCTAGGTCGATTGTGGATAGACGAAGAAGGCTGTCGCTGAAGTTTTGGCACAACATCACAGATAAGATTGCTACAGTGTGCACCACGCTTGCCACAGAGCAAGGTAACTAATGTGAAACAGTACTCTATCCCCATTGCTGCCAAAGATGGCATTAAAGCAGTAATTTCTGATTGGAGACAATGATGCATCGTTGTACCTTGTCATTCAGCATTTAATTCTCCCATTTGGCCTGTGAGGAAACCAAATGGTAAATGGAGAATGACAATGGATTTCAGAAAACTGAATGCTAACACCAAAGCGTTAACAGCTGCTGTACCCAGCACTGCTGATTTGGTACTACAGATTCAGGGAGCTGCACACCCAGTGCTGGCTTCCTTAGATATAAAAGACATGTTTTTTCAGGTTCCTATTGATCCTGAGGATCAGAAATATTTTGCTTTCACTTGGGACGGGGTGCAGTATACTTCCACAAGGTTACCCCAGGGTTACAAACATTCATCCACACTGGCTCACCATGCACTTGCACGTGAACTGGAAAACGTTCCAGAAATCAAAAATAACTCCAAACTAAAAGTTTATCAGTACATAGATGATGTACTAACAGGGGACCAAAGTGGGGAGGAGGTAAAGGTTGTTTATGATGCCATAATAAAGCATGTAACAGACCTACAAATAGAAGTTCTTGAGGAGAAAAGACAGTACCCATCCCAAGAATTTAAGTTCCTCGGGATAAGGTGGAAAGGGGGAACCTGGAACATTCCCTCTGATACCTTGTCTCATTTGAACCAAGTAGAGATACCATCCAATAAGAAAGAATTACAGGAAATATTGGGGACTCTTCAATATTGGAGAAAACATATCCCAGAATTTTCTGTGATAGCACGCCCTCTCTATGACCTCTTGAAAAAGAATTGCCATTGGGAATGAGATACATCCCATGATGAGGCCCTGAGACTATTATTATTGGAAGCTCAAACCTTTCAAATTCTGGGACGTCTCCACCCAGAAGATCCAATAATAATAGAATAGGGGTTCTCAGCCAGTGCTTTGTCACATCACTTTTGGCAGCCGGGACCTAACGAAAGTACCCAAGCAATTGGCTTCTATTCTCAATCTTTTAAAGATTCGGAAAAACAATATTCCACTCTGGAGAAAGGATTGTTGACATTATGCACGGCACTAAAAGAAATTAACAAAATTATCAAAAAACAAATGGTAATTTTACAAAGTCCTTTTAAAGTGGTTAATTAAGTGCTCTCTGGGGAGAGCGCCTCCAGAAGGAATATCCCAAAAGGTGACAATTAGAATATGGTTTAGCCAAATTGAATACTATTCTAACCTCTTCAAACTTGAAGGAAACCCAGATAAACAATTAAAAATTTAGGAACAAATTACATCTACACAAGAAAAAGATTTAATAATGAAAAGGTCTTCCTTGAATGCGCCTGCGTGTGCACCTGTGTTGGGGCTCTGTGAGTGTTCCGTGTGCGTGGTGTGGTGCTCTAGGGCTCTGTGTGGCTGCAGGCAGTGTTGGGGTCCAGGGGTGTGCCAAGGGGCCCAAGAGAAACTTGATCCCCAGGGAGGCCCCAGGTTGGGTGAGAGGCAGGTGGAGAGCTCACTGGTCTGCAGGGCTGCCCCGGGCAGTTAATCTGCCGTCCTGCAATCATCCTGTCGCAGTACTGGTGTGACGGGTATGCTGTCTGGGGATGGTCCACATGCCTCTGGAGGAAATTCTGATAGGTGGGCTGGGGCTCTGCCCCTGGCAGTCCGGCCAGCAGCAGGACCATGCATAGGGTCCAGTGCACCATGGGCACCTGTGGGAATTGGCGTCAGGGCCATCTGGACCTCCATGACTGTGAACCCCACGCTGGATGCCTGATTCATTCTCAGATTCCCCCTCACAGACACCTGGGTCCCGTTACAAATCCCCTCTAAATGCAGGGGGGAACCCGTCCTGGACAGCTGGCCATCTGTGCATCCCTGCTGGGTGCCTGGGAGCCTGAGTGCCCACTGGAACAGGTCCCCTGGACCCCTGTG